CCCCCCCCCCCCCCCCCCACATGATGTAAAGATGTATAGACAGCACCTCAGGGAGCTCGAGGCAACCCCTTTGTCTTAAGACATTGTAAGAGATTCAAACACTGTGATAATGAAAAGAAAGTGCTTCATTTTTCTTGTGGCATCTTCGGCTCCTTCTCGTCTTGTGCTGGAGTTAAGGTGTGGCGTCGCCTTTCCTCTCCTGCTCGATGGCTGCGACGGAAACACACACACACAAAGCTGTTAGCAGGCTGCGGCGCTCCATGATCTGCTCGGTGCAGCCTGCTGCAACCATTTGTTTGAGCTGCTCCGTTTGCTGAGCGTGTGTGAAAGTGATGATGAGTTGACAGGAAAAATAATTGCTGCAGGGAGGGATGGAGGACTCTCCTCCAACATGCACACTTGGAAGGAAGGAAGGGGCGGCCACTCACTCTCTTTGGTAGGCAGAGGGTTTTTCTCTTTTGTCTCCGTCTTCTTCAGCTTTGTCTTGTCAAAGCGGGCGATCTCAGTCATGTCAGGCTTGTCCGACATTTTGGCTGCAGAGGACGACACACAAAAACCCACGCGTTTGATCGTTCCTGTCGAGCATCGCATCGGTAACACACATTCCATGACACACAAGCATTGTTATATACAGTCCAGCTCCACTTGTCTGCCATGTAATGTATCATAATCTCTGGAAATGCTTAACAGGGAGTGTTGCGCTCACGTCTGCTTCATCCTGACAGCTAACCAAAGCTGCCTTCTTTCTTTATCGTCCCCCTCCTCAAAACCTATTAGTCTTTGTTCTCCATTTTTAACATCCGCCCTCTGGCTGTTTTGCTCCTTCTGCATCCAGCCCTGTAGTCTTGTGGACGCAGGTGGTCCTCTGCAGCAGAAAGGCCCGGCCTTTAACAGTCTTTAGCCTAGTCATGCCTGTTTGATCTGCTGTTCTGGCAGAAATGTAAAGGAAGCCAAACTACTGTAACCTTATTGATCTGGACTCTTAAATAAAACTGATTAACGACTTTCTGAAGACATGACAAGCAAACCAGCATGGATCTTGCCTTTAACCACCACTGTGCTACATCAATATTAGCAGTAGTCCATTTCCAATCCTATATAATCCAACAATAATCCTAATTATACAAGTTTAATGCCTTTTGTTCCTTTGTCGCCATCATCAGCCTCAACATGTTTCCATTTCTCTGCCTGCTTGTCCACCATCCAGCCACACCCCACTCCTTTGTTTGAGTCCCAGTTAAAGGAGAAAACTGAAGATCAGCAGCCACAAAGAGACACGTAACGACAAATGAAGGACAGATGAGTCTTACTTACCGATGTTCCTCTCAGCAGTGGGCTAAGATCCTGTGACGGAGAGTCCAGGGAGGGATGAGGCGGCAAGATGGAGAGCGAAGCTGAGACAGTCTGCCGGTGTGTGTGTGTGTGTTTGTATGAGTGTGTGTGTTAGTGAGGCGTCCAGCATCCAGGGTGAGGAATATAAGAGGAAGGGAGGGAGGAGGGAAGCTCGTTCAGCCCTTCCTCCACATTAATATTAACGTTCTCAGGGAAAAATACCAGAGAGCAGTTTACTGTAAAAGATGTGGGTCTGATCATGATCAATTATTTACAATTTATGTATGTTTGATAAAATATAGATTATTTGACTCACATGCAGCGGGACTAGTGATTTATAAAGCTGTGTAAGATTTTAGAGTCAACTCTGCCTTCCTGAGGATGAATGCATGCTGGAAACATCTATAAACTTATAAATCATTGTTTAAATTGTACTTAATAGTCCAAAATAAAATTTAAAAAACAAACTCATACAACAAGGCATTAATGTTAATATGATTTTATTTATAATAAAGCAAACACAATACGAATAGCCTAAAATTATTTGGGACGCTTGTCTTGAGGGAGTTCATAAGAATACACATTTTGACTGAAAAAAAAAAAAATCTTATACAGGAATATAAACAGACCTAAAACCAATAATACAATACAACAACACAATAATAGGGTTATAATAGTTAATATGCAATATGGGAGCATGACTATGACAATAATTATAATTTCTATGAGAAGCTTACAAGTGATTATAAAATAACAAAAATACTATTCCTATTTTAAACTTACATACTGCTGATAATTTAGGAGTTTATAGCCGAGGATATTGTTTGTCAGCTCTAATTTTAATGGTCCAGATGCAAAATACACAAATCAGAGTATTTATCCAGATGTGACAGATGGTTTGACAAAGTTAAGAATTTAAATAAAACATGTGCAGCAATAATATTATCCATATAAACCCATTATATATATATATATATATATGTGTGTATATTAACCTGGCAATATACTTTATTACCCTATAACTAGTATAACTAAGGAGATCACTCATAATGGACAGTAAATTCAATATTAGCTCATTAAGGCGAAAAGTGTGGAGATGCTTGGTTTTTGTAACTTTTATAATTTTCAGCATATTTAACTCTATTTACACTTATCTTCTGTGTAGAAATAGGTCGGACTCTTCTCATTGTTTTCAAAAACTTTGTTTTTATTGAAATCTTTTTCAGCCTATTTGCTCTGTTTTTGTCTTATGCTATCAGCAACGGTTCTGCTACTTTGGTCTTTTAACTAAGTTTTTAGGTATTTTTAGCTCCCATTTAGCTTATTTTGATTATTTAGTCAGCCTTTCATGATCTTTAGCTGTTATTCAGATTTTTGTTACTTTGAGGTTTTATTAGCTTTTGGCTGCTTCATTTTGTGTCTAGCTTTTTGCCACTCTTAGTAAGCCATTTGTTTTAATTTCATTTTGCTTTTGCTACTTTTAGAATTTGGTTACCCTTTTTGCTACTTTAGCTTCTAGCTGGCCTTTTGTTACCAACAAAGTGACACTGCATGATTTGACACCACACCTACACACTAACTCGTGTTCTGCTACTTATAAATTTACCAAGTCAGTTTCAGCTTCTGCAGCAAATTTTAGCTGTCACTCAGAGCTCAGCGTTTAGCATTCATTTGAGCAGAAAAGGCAATTCCTTTAGGTTTTTATGAAGTGTTTTATTTCATTTCAGAAGACAATTGTTTCAATTAAAAAACAAACAAAAAATGACATTATAAATTGCTGTTGCTTGAAATAAATGCAAGAAAATTCACATCCACAGGGAAAAGCATCTTAAATTATATGTATATATATATATATATATATATATATATATATATATATATATTTCCATCTTCCTACAATGTTAATTTGTGTTTGAAAACAAGAGCCGAACTTTTCTAAATTGGATAAAATCAAAGATAGCCTATTTTTAAGCTTATTGATAACCTCTGATCGATGTGAATACATCATTACTAAGCTAAAATAGTTTCATTGTAATGTTTCATGCTTCACAAATGATCTAAAATCAAACATTAGTAGGCTGTTCATGTCCAGTGTGAGTAAATAATCAGCAGATAAATGAAGACAGTAAGCCCTCCCATCTGTGAAAGCCTGCCGAGACCTTTCTGAATAACATCATATACACTAATGAAGCCATGACATCATTGCAAAGCCCTTTGCTGCCATCTTTGACTTCTAATCTTCCCAGGGGTACAGTTACAACTGCTGAGGAAATCCACCTCAGAAAAGACTCCTCGTCTGAGAATAGAATGACTCATCATGACCTCAGTTACCAAGAAGCACTCTAGCAGTAATCAGACAGTATTCCCCTTTTACCAAGTCCTCCATGAATAGAAGTGTTAGCTAAATTAGCAGCTGAGTTTTAAATGATCGTGCTTTTCATTGCCCACCTCTGAAAGTGAAGGTGGAATGATACTATGTCTTTTTCTCTGTCTGTGTATTAATTTGTCTGTTAGCAAAATATTTAATCAACCACTGGACTGATTTTAATGAAACTTGCAGGGAGGCTAATTTGACAGATTATTAGCTAATGTTTTGCCTGGTAGAAGTCTAAAGTTACTCTGAGCGTAAAAAAGAGCATGTATTATTAACTTATTTTTTTATATTTATGAATGTTTCTGTTCACTTTCCTGAGATGACTTCTGTTGTGACTTGGCTGTATATAATGAACTGAATTCAATTGAATGATGTATCACATTTTCTACATGAGTTTGCAACTAAAATAATTTACAAGGTTGGACCAAACAACTCTCCTCATAATTTGATGATCGTAGTTTAAAAGTTTTGCGTGAAAGATGGCGGGTGATAAACATTATCTCAAGGGATGCCCTGCCTTTATTTTAACTGATTATTGTAATCATCAACCAAAAGACACAAAAAAGTAAAAACTTTGAAAGGATTTATTGTGAAAATCGTGTAATTCTACGTTTGCTTGTTTCTACTTCCTGTCCTCTCAAACCCAGCCGGTCGAAGCAGACGGCTGCTCGTCCTGCTGGAGGTTTGTTCCTGCTAAAAAAATGAGTTTTTCCTTTCCACTGTTACCACTCTGCTTGTTCAGGATGGGAGACTGTGATAAAGTGAAGATTTAACACAATCTGCTGTCGTCATTAGATAGAGGACTTTTACTAACCGTCTTTTATATATGAATGTTTCTGTTCAGTGTCCTGAATGACTTCTGGCACTATATAAATAAACTGAATTGAATTAAAAAAAAAAAAAACACGAGGACATGTTTCATTTTGCTCCTTCAGAATAAAACAATGAGTCAAACAGTGTATGAGCTCTGTGCTATCATATGTGACATCATACTGAATGACTTAGCTTTTTTTTTAGGATTACATCAGCCTCATAATGACAGCAATAAAACTTCCATGGAGACTCTGTAGCTCCCCCTGCTGGACAGATTCAGGTGCTTCATTTAACAGCCTGTATAACAAAATGTTTAAAGAATGAATAAAACAGATTAAAGCAGTGTTACAATTTGATTATGACAGAAGGAACATAAACCCATTGTATTAGTTTTGCATTAAGAGTTTTAAATTAAACCCTGATTCAGCATTTTTGGGCACATTTCCACTCACTTGTTTTTTTTTTTTTTTTTTTTTGTGGAAAACATCTTTGACCTTCTCTGATTTGGGCTTGGCCTTCTTATTTACCTTTCTGTTTAAAATGTTACCATGTTTGAAGGTCACAGACGAGATGCTCACTGACAAAGGTCAGACTTACAACAACCTGTCAGGAAAATGTGACGGCCTGCTGTGGAGGATGGACCAGAGAAACTTGGATCAGGACCTTCTCTGCACTGTTTGAGCAGCTCTAGATGAAGAACGTCAACTGAGGAGAATTGTAGAAACCACAGATAGTAAACAGGAAAATTAAACACCCAGCACTCCTTAAATAATTCATAATGCCCCAAATAATGGAGTTATAACCAATTTGGAAAATCCTTGAAATTAACATGCGCAGAGTATTTGTTGTGAAAGGCTCTCACCTTTTACAACATCAAACTGTAGCTCAATATCTGTCAAATTGTTTTAACATTGAGAAATAGTAATTTTGGGTTGGATAGTGTTAATTAGCTCTAGCAGCCATCTTGAAATAGATCAACTCCAAAAGTTATTCAGTTGTATTTGCACATCCAATAATTACTTCCTGCAAGATTCATTAAAATCCAATCAGTGGTTCAGGAAATATTCAATTAACGGAGCGTGGATGTTGATTCTAACAGTTATTGCTAAAGTTCAAAACAATTTTTTAGCTTATTATCTGCAAAACTGGCTGAATTATAGCAATCATTGTGTTTTTTAAATCCAGTTTTCTAAGGCAGCCATCTTTAGCTGCAGGTTAATCACTTATAGATGTACATCTGAATATTTCCTGAAAGTTCCATTTACATCACTTTGGTGGTCCATGAGATATTTTGCTAACAGACAGACATAACTGGCTCCAAACAGTGCATAGCAAAAATCTAAACATAGATCTTACTTAATGTGTCATCTCAGGATTTGTGCTGGGAGTCAGTCACAGCTACTACCACACCAAGTCTGTGCAGCTGAGGGAGGTTTAGCCAGATGTTCTGCTGCAGACAAACACAGGATGGCAGCACAGGACTGTTTGCAGGTTTTGTCAGGGACCACCAGAGTGCACTCCTGCCCCCAACTCAAAACAACCACTTCAAACAGCTTCAAGTTTTCTGTCACTAAAGTGATAAAAATAAAAATCCTCCAACTTTTCCAAACATAGTTAAGTCCATTCGTGTGTTTTGATGCAGTATGAGAGTGTTCAACGAGTAATCCAAACCATTTCAGCCTGACAGTAAATCACATCTGGAGAGGAGACGACTCCAACTCTTACTGCTGAGTCTGAGTCAAACACACGTTAAATCACACTTAATTGAATACTTCAGATGTTTTATTCAAATGGGCTTGTGTGAAAGGTTATGAGTAGAAAGCGTCTTACATGCTGTAGATGACACTGAATAACAGTTTAGTGAAATAGTCTGAAAGAGTTGGTGACGCCCCACAACTTTATGTATCACCATATTTTCAAGGTTTTACTATT